TATATATATATATATATATATATATATATATATATATTAGGGATGCACGATCCACTTTATTTACTCCCGATCCGATCATACCTAGATCTGAGTATCGGCTGATACCGATCCAGTTCCGATATCATGATCATCATTGATTTTATATGAGGCTGTAATAATCTCCTCTCAAGTACAGTTTGTACAAATATTTGCATGCATGTCCAAAAAGGCAACTTGAGGTAAGTTTTATTAATGTTGGATAAGTTTTAAAGTAAGAATTAAATTCTGCTAACACAAAACATGTTTCTTTATTCCTAGCTTTAAAGTGGACATTAAAGTGATTAATTAAAGTGATTGTTTAAAGTTATTTTATATTTTATAAGGGGCAGATATAAGAATTATTTCTTCCTTCTGCACTCTTTTCATTCAATGTTTTCTTCTTGATGATTTTTTTATTTTATTTTGTTTCTTTTAAATGAATGAATAAATTAATTACATTAAATGTTAAATGTCTTCAAACATCTGCTAAGTTCACAGCATAAACCAACAGACATGTTCCTGTTTTTAGTATTTTACATGACTTTATAATGTAGCTGTTTTTAATATATATAATTTTCAAATCATATGTTTTTTATGAGTGTTTACTGTTGTACGGATAAATATCTCCTGGAGGGTAAACTATATCTTGGCTGCAAGTATCAAGCTGAGAAATCTTTCGTTTTCTACAACTGATAGTGGTTGGTCATTATTTATGATGAAGTTTAGCAACTTCTCTGTAAACATTTGAGCTCCGTGGTTTCAGCGATGTCTTCTTCTTGTTCAATCTGAAGCAAGCAGTCTGATTTGGGGCAGCCGCGCTCAGTCTGTCCCTCCTCAGAGACGAGCAGACTGAGCGGGGCAGATTGGACGCGGCTGGCCGGTGTCGAGTCGCCTCTTTCGGTTTGACCAAAGAGCAGCGCCCCGCTGAAGCACGGAGCTCGAATGTCCATCGTAAAACTAACTTTAACGTGGTTTAATGTGGCGCTATGGCTCTGCAGACATTGGACGTTGCCGTCTTGTTTTGTGGTGTTTCTAGTGTAAAATACTTCCACACAGCAACATGTTTAGATGAAAAGTTTGTTAGCTGTTAGCCACAGTGCTGCTAACTCAGTCCTCACGATGTAGCTGGCTGCAAACAATGAACTGGATTTCCTGAATGTGAGGCGGGTCTTATTACTCTGGGTTCATGAGACACGCCGCCATTCAAGAAATCCATTCCATAGTTTGAAGCCAACATTCATAATGGATCGGAAATATCGGCAGGTGGATCGGAAAATCCGATACGTAAATTATGCTGGTATCAGAGGCCGATGCCAATACTGGATCGGCCCCATCCCTAATACATATACACACACACACACACACACACACACACACACACATATATATATATATATATATATTTTTTTTTTTATCAGTTTAGTATTAACTAATCATAACAAAACCAAAGACTAAACTTATGCAACCAGAAGTTGCAACATAGCTATATCTACATACAGAACAAACAAAGTAAAACTAGTTTTAAGCATTAACCTTTAATTTAACTATCAAGCTTGCATACAATGTAATTATGACAAAATATGGAGGATGTACCTGTCGTTACCTTCCTACAGACGAACATGTTGTACTTCCTGTTTATCACCGTTGCATTCAGTTGCTCATGAGGTCGGCCACATGGCTTTATGATCTTTTACATTTTTCCAGACTCAGTTTAGATAATGGAATTGTAATAAACTGTATTCCACCCTCTAAAGCAGGGCTATTCAACTAAACTGCTCAGGGGGGCACAGTAACAGAAAGCCAGTAGCTCAGGGGCCGAACATCCAGCAATTAAAGTCATAATGTAAATACACTATATTTATACATTCACTGTCATCAACTATTTTGGTGATCTTTACAGAACTTGTCAAAAAAGTTTATAAAATACTGTGACTGCTTTTTTGTATTGAGAAAACAGTATAAAACTGTATCTGAGAAAACTAGTGTTGGAATTAGAAAATATTCCAACACAGAGCACAGATTTTACAGGAACTGCTGGAAATTAATTACTGACTGTAAATCTAGAAACGATGGTCAACACAGCTGATTGTCCTTAGCAAACACAAAAATGGCTACAATCTGACACAATAAAGGGGCATGCTGCTCACACCAAATAAATGTGATGGGACTACTTTTGCTGGCAAACCGTTGGTGCCATTCATCTTGTGTTGTTTTTTTTACTAATCATGTTAGAATAAGGGCAGCACTGTGGCGCAACTGGTAGAGTTGCTGCCTCTCAGCGAGCAGGTCCTTGGTTCAAACCCCGGTCCAGGGGCCTTCTGGGTGGAGTTTGCATGTTCTCTCCATGCATGCGTGGGTTTTCTCCAGGTACTCCGGTTTCCTCCCACAGACCAAAAACATGCATGTTAGGCTGATTGGTAACTCTAAATTGTCCCTAGGTGTGAGTGAGGGAGTGAATGGTTGTTTGTCTCGTTTGTCTCTATGTGTCCCTGTGATGGACTTGCGACCCGTCCAGGGTGTACCCCGCCCCTCGCACAGTGATTGCTGGACATGGGCACCAGCGACCCCCGTGACCCAAAATGGAATAAGCGGGTAAAGATAATGGATGGATGGATGTTAGAATAACTTATTCTCTTTAAATGTTTGTCTTTTTGATATTCCCACCTCTATTAACCAGAATGTTGTCATCCTCAAAAGACAAAAGAATCGTCAGGCAGCATATATTCAATAACTGAAAGCTTTAATAACAAATCCAAATCTCTGAAACAAATACATTTTAGTCGTTGTTCAAAGTTTGTCAATTGAAAAAAAATAAAAAGTTGTTGTTTAAAACTACTAAAGCCTGCTATTGCAGCTAAAATTTACAGGACATAAAAACACAAATCTTGCAATTTTTTCACCTCCAGTGGACCTCAGCCACACATCTGGTTTCTTTTGGCACTTTCCCTTTTTACATGCACTTGAAGAGTAAAAAAAATAATAATAATAATTGAAGAGTGATTTTACAGCTCAGTACTGTTGCTGTGGAAACAATGATTTTCTAGAAGTAGCAATAATCTAATTGTGTGGCATACATTGGGTATGGCTCATAACTATGAGAAGCTTCAATAAAGCTTCACAGAAAATGGTTATGGCTGTGAGACATGCCATGAATGACTGTCTCACAGCTGCTTTAGCACATCAATAAACCTGAAGTGTTTACATCAACGTCTGATTAAACTCATATAACATGTACAATGAACATGCACTGCTACATTATGAGATACAGCTTCCCAGTGCAGGGTTTGACACCTGTTTACCTTCAACATTGCCTCAGTTCTTCATGACATAGATTTAACAAGATGTTGGATACACCCTTCAGAAACTTTCATCCATGTTGGCAAAGTAGCGCCACACAGTTGCTGCAGATTTGTCCGCTGCTCATTCATGATGCAAATAATGTTCCATCACATCGCAAAGATGCTTGCTTGATTGAGATCTGGTCTCCAGGGAATCAAGGTTCATCAGAGCAGGCAATGTTTTTCCAAACTTTTATTGTCCATTTTTGATGAGCTTGCAAAAACC